CTTTTACCAACGAATAGTAGGGATTAACCGTCACATTATAACGCCCCCACGGCTGAAAGGGCTAGCATGTTTGGTGGGATGCGGATTCGAATCCGCGACCCTCAGATTGTGAGTCGAGCGCCTTATCCACCTGGCCATGCCGGGCACCAACGCTTTATGTGATGTTCTGAAGTAAAGCTGTTCAAATTAACGCTTCCTGTGATGTCTTGAAGCCAAGCTTTTGAAAGTAACGCTTTATGTGATGTTCTGAAGTAAAGCTGTTCAAATTAACGCTTCCTGTGATGTCTTGAAGCCAAGCTTTTCGAAGTAATGCTTTATGTGATGTTCTGAAGTAAAGCTGTTCAAATTAACGCTTTCGGTGATGTATTGAGGCCACGCCGTTCAAGAAAACGTTTCCTGTGAAGTTTTGAAGTCAAGCTGCTTAAATTAACGCTTCCTTTGATGCTTGGAACTCATGCTGTTTAACGAAACGCTTTCTGTTGTGATGTGTTTGAGTTACTGTTATTCAGAAGTGACTAACCAAATGTGATTGGTGAAGTTGTACACATCATCATCATTTTAACATTTGACGTATTTAACAGAGAAAAAGTAGCAACTGGTTTTTATGAAAATCCTCGAACATTCTTGTCTACCAAAACAAATGTTTTAACTACAAAATTCATCAATAACAACTCTACTTACGTTAAATATTTTACCTATACACCCGATATTGCTTTGAAAAAAAACCCCATTAGAGAAACAGTTTTTTTTTATTTTAGTCTTTTAAAACTCGTGAATATATTCTAATTTTCAGCTGTTTTTGGACAAAGTATAACTTGAATCAATGAAACTGCTAGCATTCAAGCGTATCTAAACGTAGTGAGCAAAACTAAGCCTTGTCGTTTTAGATAAGACAATAAATAAAACAGCTGGCTTCATGCTAAGAGACGTATTATGAATATACACATATATATATAGTTTAGACCGCTGCAGTTTAAAAATAAACTCTAAGTTATTTTCATAAAGAAAATAACACAACTTTAACATGTTAAACTTTCGTTATTTGACAAACACGTGGATGTCAAGTGATTATCGTGTAGTAACAGCGGAAGTCACGTGTATTCTCGCAGTTCCTCATTGAATATCTAAGTGATAATTTCACTGTGTGTGCGGGGAAGTGTATACAAAGACTTTAGGAAGTTTAAGGAAACATAGACGCGAATCTGTCACAGATTCAATGATTTACGATAGCTGTCGCTAGTTCTCTGACGTTGAGGACGAAGGATGACTTGTTTTGTCTTCCAGATTTTCAGAAGGCGACTTCTGAACAGCTTCTAGTGCCTTCAGCTCTGCATCTGTTAAAATAAAAAGCAAAATATTTTTTTTTTTGCTAATTTCACAAAATAACCTACATAGTTCTGTACCATTCGAAATGGAAAAACTATTATAACTCTGTATATACAAAAACGAGTGTTATTAAATGCTTCATGAAGTATCATTGATGTTTTTGTTGTTGTTTTTTAATGTCTAATGACAAGGACTGTTGTTGAATAAACCATAATAAGTCAGGATATTTCAGAAGTATCATGAATAAATAAGATTCATCATGGATACACCAAAGGAAAACTAAGTACAGGAAGTTGCTTGGACATATTGAAAGTATCATAGTTATCAGGTTATGTTATGGATAAACAAGCAGGTGCTTTAACTTGTCAGAAGCAGCTTGAATACACAATCAGGCGCTTTAACTTGCCAGAAGCAGCATGAATACACAATCAGGCGCTTTAACTTG